TACCTTTGTGGAGTCCAGTGCAGTTAGCAGAAACTTCAAAGCCAGCTCTGCTTAAAGCAGGAAGCTGAACCTCCCCAGTTCTGTACAGAAATGCAGACTTCTCTTTCAACCTAAATTATCCTATGATCTTACAAATACAAAACTGGACAGGGCGGAAAAAAAAGAAAATAAAAAGAAAAAAAAAATAAAACAGGCAAAAAGCCCAACATTTCTGCTTGGGCTTTTGGGTTGGCTTTTATTTTTTGAAGTGAGTGAGTGTGGGTCTTGAGGCTTTGAATACATTTCCAGTAAAACACTTTTTTTAAACTATCTGGAGTTGTTTTACTTTACAGTCACAGTCTTCCAGGAGAGGGGGTTTGATCCTTTGCTACATAAAGAGTTAATGTAAGAATGAGTAACTGCAGATTCCAGACATGATACTTGCAGGTTTCTCTTTGATGAGGTTCAAACAGAAACACGACGCGTGCCACGCTGTCACAGGTTCAAGTACTGTAAGAGCACAGGCCATAGCTACCTCTATAGGAATAAGACTTCTGACATTTCTAAAAGCCAGTTTAACTGACCCAAAGTGAAACGTGGTGGAAACCGATAGAAAAAAATGTCAGTGTAGAAACAAAGTGTGAATTTTAACAAAGAATGTAACTGATGAATTTGGGCTGTGCAAAAATTATCTGTGGAAGCTGAAAAGCCTTGAAAGCATCAGAGCAGGGATGATAAACAAAGCCTGTTTCCAGTGGCTAGTTCTTGCTGATTTAAGTGGTTTACAAATGAACTATGATCAGCTTACAGAAGGAATTACGTGATGGGGCTGACTGCAACAGCAGGAGTGTGCCCTAATAACCTATAAGCTTTCTATCCTTTTTTTTTTTTTTTTTTTTTTATCCTTTTAGAAAATAATGCATTTATTTTGAAAAAGGTTTGGACAACATTCCCAATATTTTATAGGGGTTCCCTCTTCACTTAAGCTTCTGAGGTCAGATAGGACAATTTGAATGTTAATGTGACAAATGTAAAATTAATACTGCACATTTTAAATCTGAATTTTTTTTTTTTTTTTTTTTGCATAGGAAAGTAGCTTTCAATGCTAAATCAAGAGCAAAATAGCTGAAGGCGGAGTTCAGCAATTTTGTAGAAAAGGGGTAATGTGACAAACCCATTCTCAATGCCTTGTTCACTGCTTTGGAATATCTGCACAGAACAGTCAAAGCTTTAAAGTTTATACTTTGCCTCAGGACAAAAGATGATCCCAAGAAATATCCACAGCCTACATACCACTTACCTTTCAAGACTTATTGGGCCAGGTAGGTCTACTCCAGAACACTATAAAGGATAGTATGTGAGTACATTTGTACAATTTATGTGGTATATAAGTTCCCAATCCTATAGATACACACAGGACTGCACATGCCTGAGAAATGACTTGTACGTAAAGTTATATCAGAGTTGTATTTATACTGTTGAAAATGTAAGTGCTCTACCATTGCTATAAACTGTATTTATAGAGAAGTTAGCTCAGATGGAGAAAGCTGAAGCAATGTTTCAAATATACTCCTATCCTTTCCTTCCAGCATGCGACAGCTCTTTCTTTTCTCTTTGTTCCATTAGTACTTCCTTCAGAGATGAAGGAGAAAGATGACTGAAAGAGTTCAGGGACTTGTCCTGAGGGTAGGGCTGACAGATCCCCTCCTCTTGATAGCATTGTCACGCAGCATGCAGCCTTTTCCCTTATTGGTGACGTTATTAATTTTGTTAGGTTTTTTGTGGCTCCCATGGTTTAGGCAGGTTTTTTCCATATTCCAATATTAACAAACTTCTCAAACTACTTCCATTTGGGTTGGGTTTTTTGTGTGTGTTTTCTTTTGTTTGTTCTGTGGGTTTTTTTTTGTTTTGTTTTGTTTTGTTTTTTTAAAAAAAACATCTTTCACTTATAGCCAGAAAACCTGGTTAAGAGCGGAGAAATTAAGGGAAGTGGAAGCTGTCAATATCTGTGATGCTTCAAAGTCCAGTAGAAAGGCCCGTGTTTGGGGTATTTTGACATTGCTCTATGTGTGTCCTACATCTGTTTTCTTATTAATTTGGTCCTAACTTTGAACTGAAGAAAGGTAGCGGGTGGCAGGTCTGACTGCAAGAAGCCATGGATGCCTATTCAGGAATTCTGAAACACCAGCAGGTAGTTTCAAGAGGTTTCCTGAAAACAGAATCTTAAATATCTTAAATGTTTAATAAAACTACATGTACATGATTTAGTGTGCATTAACCCATATGAAGTATTCCCATATTAAATAATCGGTATTCATATCTGTGATATAAAGTCAAGACCTACCCAACAAACACCTAAAATGATGTAAGAAGCTGGTTTTGTCATGATACTGTTAAAAATATTGCAGAGCTATATCACAGTATTTGTCACTATGCAACCTCAGATAATAGCCATGCTGGACAAGTTTAGTTTGTTTTAGAGGACTATTAAAAAAATAAAACCAAGCAACGAAACTCCTGCACATGTAAATTAATAACAAATTCAAGACAATACTGTTGCTATATTCCAAGTGACTGCAGTCTGGATTCACTTCCCATTTAATGACAAGTGAATACTCTAAAACGTAACCTGCACTATCATAGGCAAGGTAAGATTAAAACCATATTGCTTCAGTATTTCATGTATGCAAACTTCAACTTTAAGCAATCCCACAAAACTCAAATGAGCTGGACTTGTTTATAGAGCTTGACTGTCACTAGACAGTATTGGCTCCGTGCAGTACAGACACAAGGGCACTCATCTGAGTGTTTAATTTTCAGAAATTAAGCCTTGCATTTAAAAAAAATGCTTCTTTCTGAAACCATTTCCAAATTCACCCTTCAGTGTCCTCTTCCTAATCCAAACACACATTCAACCACAAAACTAAGTTTTTGCAAAGCAACACAAGAGCCTTTGGAAATGATCACATTAAGCTTGACTACTGTGTCACATACTTTTTATATTCCTCAGGTTATGCAAATAACAAATATTTCTGCCACTGAATGCTAATTATCTGCACGATATTAATTTTTTTCCTCTCCAAAAGGGAGATAAATACATTAGTGATTTAACTCCTGAGCAAAACGTTCACATTGTCAGTGTCCAGCTGCAACACCAAGTTTCTAACATCTACCTTTCACGCTAGGCATGCTTAGAACAAGTGCATATGCATATACATCCACAGAGATATATCACGCTATGCCAACACACAGAAATGCATCTGAGAATAAGCTTTACTTCTTTTGAATACAATGGAGCATCAAATATAAGTTAAATTTCAAAACTGACTGGGAAAGTAATGAACTTACATTAACCTTCTTTATTTACATTGGAAGAGGCCTTTTTGGGCCATAGGTGTTTCCAGGGGATCTACATCAACATCAAGCCAAGGTCCCTTGCTCTTACATACCCTAAATAACATAATTTTGAAAGAAAGCCTCAAAAAAAAAAAAATAAAATAAAAATTGCTTTTGTAGTCAGAAAGTGTAAATAGGACATTTCAGGAAAACCTTAGCTTACTGAGCAGGATCAGGTGGCTGAAAAATTCCATGGAAACAATGCAGTTAGAAACCAAGAAGGGTAAGTAAGCAACTCCCAAGTAAAGAGAAACAAGTCTGTGCAACCAACACAATGCTGCAAAGAAATGACAACAATACTGTCTGCAGAATATAAACACTGTAGGGCTTATGGTCTTGTTAGATGCAGCTTAATCTGGAAAGTATTTTCTGGGCTTTGTATTGTATCTATATGATTTTTACTTCAACTCTTGAGGGAGTAAAGCTACAGTCCCCTCTTAAAACCAAGTCAGAAAGGCATCACTTTGTCCTGTCATTAATTGATTGTCCTTTTAGGATGCAAAGTACCTTTTTGCTTGACATATATGCAGCTTCTTTTTACACATGCACATACAACTTAGCATAAGTAAAACCTGCCTATTCATTATAGATTCTGCACTTTACCACTAAAGGTTAAGCAAAAGGAAAAGCTAAACCAAATACAAAGCAAACTATAATGGGAGCTGTACAACACAGAGAATTACAAAACAACAGGTGTCTTTGGCAACAGGCTTTCTCATGGAAAAGCACAAGAAAAAAACATAAAGCACACACACACAAAAAACCCCTAGAAGAACAAGCATTATGCTTCAAAAAACACAAACAAAACAACCCAAATCAAATTTTAAAGAGCACCCAAAAACTGGAGACTTAATACATTACAGCTTTCAGGTATAAGAACAAAACCAAGAGATTGGATATGACCCTTTGTTGTATGTCACTTCATTTAGAAATTTAAGATGAACGTTAATTAGTAAATTAATTCACTTCCAAGAAATGAATCTTGGCTAATATTTTTTACATACTTTTGTTAGTAAACAGAATTTTAAAAGTGCAACAGTGGAGCAGGAGAACATATATGCACAGATGGTATTCTCGCATATATTGAGCAGTATAATAGAAATTACTTTGTCTCCACATTACTACCTAAAAGCACACCTTTACTCCACAAATACAGAGAGCCTTCACTTGTAAAAGTGAAAAAAGATACGGATTTTTCATAAAAATGACATTGTGTGTTTCCAAGGAGATTATAATCTCTGCAGTTCCAGACAATATAAATTTATTTTCTTTTGAAGGAACCACTATGCAGCCTATACTTGGTTTCCTTTTAGATTAAGTAACTTGATTTGTTCTCAGGTCAAACGTAGAGAAACGTGAACATTCTGGCTTTAAGCAGGGACAGTATTATTCCTAATCATTAGGAATCAAGTCCTCTGATGGCCTGCCCTGCTGCAGCAGAAAATATTTTGTAAGAACAGAGACTGGAGGATGCGTTTTCATCCTACCAACAAAAGCCACACTGTTCTCTACACGCAACTTCAGCGGTCCGTAATATGCTTTCTGACAATAGGCAAAGGGTCATCTTGCATGGCAAGAATAGCCTCCAGCATGGATAAAAAATATAAGAAAAACATTTGACGTACTTGGATCTGACAAGATTGAGTCGGTTTTCGGCAAAAATTGGTCACAGCGGACTCCTTGGTAGCCCTCTTTGCACCTGAGAAAAAGGGGATAAATGACAAACATACGCATGCGATAGTAAAAGGTTAATTTCAAGGCAGCAAAATCAACCGACATTCTCCCTGCCAATTCTGCGAGGTACTTGCATATTTACAGCATTTCAACTATTACAGAAGCAAGGTTATTACTTGAACACAATGGAAGCAAGTAAAATCATTTGTATTTCAAAAAATTCCCCTCAATCCTTTTCAATTGTTTTAGAAACTATGAAAAGAAACATCATTTAAGCATAGCTCTTCTTTTAGATATCAATTCAGTGAAACAATCAAAGAAAAAAACCATGATAAATTAGATATATTTGTAATAAAATAAACTCATTAGGTAACAGAAAGCTTTATAAAGCTTCTGCATTATACTAGCCATCACATTAACAACTTGTTTATCTTTGGCCGTTTTAATAAGCAGAGAACAATTATATAGTCATTAATTTTATGACTAGTTTCTACTGTGCTTAAAAGATAACACGTTTAGGCATGATAGACAATGTCAGGCATTGTTTGTGAGTGAAGAGTCTTAGGTGTCTGTGGAATTAGATTTTAAACACAACGTAAAACAGAATATCCTTGTGCCTTAACAAACATGAACTGGCTTTGACTGAGATTCTAATACTACTATCTATCTTGAAACCTTATTGCAAAAAAACTCCATTTACTGCATTTGGATGGTTCACAGAAGTCTCTCTCTCTCATTTCAACTAAGTGTATCAGAATCAGGACTTTAATTATTTATTCACCAAGCAGTTTTTCAGAGAAAAGTGATGGACACTTTAATTATAAATGATAGCAACAGGGATTCCATATCTCCCAAAGCTCTTGCACATTCTATAAACAATACGCTCAAATCAGCATCATCAACTTCATTAGGATTGACAACTGCAGCTTGAATTATGTGATAATGTCGAGAAGTTATCTGCTCCTTCACAATGTTTCAACTCAGGCTTCCTCTAGAAGTTGCCTTTTAAAATGCTTTTGGGTTAACCAAGTAATGCTTCAGTGAGAAGTACATCTCTCCAGCCTTGATGCAGGGGTTACAAAGCACATTTGTGAACAAATATGTAAAGTATAAGAATTGTCATCAGACCCCCAAAAAGCAGTAAAAATCTACAGTAAGAACAAGATTAAAAATCATATATATATATATATTTCAAAACCTCCCTTTTGGCCTTTGTGAATGATACTGAGTCCTTGTTTGGAGATCAGTTTCTTACTGGCACTCCTCTATCTATAAAATGACTAACTGGCAAAAACTGAATTCAGATCCTATAGGAGTGGTCACAAGTTATCAGTTAAGGAAAAAATGTTTCTTTTTTTTTAATGCAGAATATTACATTAAAATTGTCCACTAGTCAGGAAAACTGAAGAAGTGCCCATATACTCAGGCACTGCTGATTATAAGATATCAGAAGTTGTCTCACCAAATGGACACATTTCTTCTCAGTCTTGAGAGAGCTGATAGACCTCATTTCAAAGCTTAAGAACAACCTACATGGGTTGGGGATATTCTTGTCTTTGCGTTAGCATTTCCTGTTAGCTTTTTGACATACATTTGTACCTGCCTCGGTTACTATTACCCTTAAAACCCTCTGTGCTAAACTGTTGGTCTATAAGTCACAGAAGCGTGCATCACACAGCTTAATCCCACAACTGAATACTTTGATGTTATGTGTGAGGATAAAGAGTCAGAGAGTGGTGACTCCTGGAAGAGCTGTACCAACTGCTCATCAGCACATGTGAATGCCCATCAGCCAGAGCCCGGCCGAGCATCACTACAAACACCCTCAGGCCAGCAGGAGCAGCCCCCTCCCTTTCTCTCTGGTGGCCAACGGGGCACATCTGAGCCAGAAGCTCTGCTGCTTTCCTTTCCTTACCACTCCATTCACATAACAGCTGACAGAGTCTGCATCATTAATTCCCCTGTCAGATAGTCCAGGTAATTAATTGTTCATGCCAGAATTGAAGGAGCGAAATTTTGCTACTGTTAACTGCTAGGATAGATTTGAGGGTCTCTATTCCAATCCCGCCAACTGTGTTGCGGTCTGAATCAAATATCGGTCTTTAAGTTTAAGGAAATATTTTTTTTGTATCTCCCCAAAATGACAAAAGGTGCTATGGATATTTTCACCTTCCATTTAATGTTGTTCAAAAGGATTACATTTTATCAGTTGCAAATATGGCAGATGCCGATAAAGTTGGTGGCCTCAAAAACAACCTGATGGGAGACTCCTGTAACTGGTAAAGCATCACCCCAGTACAGGACTCTAAACTACATGTGTTTCCATGTCTTTCTTTTCCTGACTTTGTAAGAGCAATGGGTTGGAACAGTATATATCACAGAGTCACTCAGATTTACAACTTCTCCCTTGTAAAACTCAGCATCCCCGGTACCTGACTGAATTGCACACTGCCATGGCTATGCTGTGCAATCTGGAGATAATGATGGGGATGGATTTCTGCTCTTAAAAATGTATTGGCTATCATATCAAACTATTATTTTTATCCTGACTATATCAGACATATACTGCTACTTGTCTCCATCACTGTGAAACTGGAGCATACAGTAATCAGCTGCCTGACTGACCTGGATGAGTCTAAAGCAACATTTTCACTCACCTGTACACTTCGATGAACATGCCACAGGAGAAATTTATTTTTGTTACTTTCCAAATTTAGCACAGAGGTGGCTGATATATCAAAGAATAAATATAGCCTTTTAACATAATAACATAACCTTACACTAAGATAACAACGACTATGGCCATACATGGCTTGGGTTTTTTTTAAATTTTATTAACTTTTTTCAGCAAAGATAAAAACTAAGCCTCCTAGTTTCATTAACAAATTATTTTTGATATCCATAAGACACCAAATAATAGCAACAACTGCTTTGCTAACATTAGACAAAAGTTTAAACCTTTGTTATTAAGTCTTGTGAAATGTGTTGCAGAATATACATTTGACAGTTATAACATTACAAGATGATAAAAGCTGATTGTGTTATGGCATTCTATAATCTTTGCTAAAGCATCTGCCATCCGTCCTAAGTGGGCAGATGTGATAATTGTGCCCATGATACCTGACATGCATACATCCTGCTAATTGGCATCACACCTCTAAGGTAAAAAAAACCCAGCCTGATGAAACCCCTATTACAACAACACTGTTGTGTCACATACAGAAGCTCAGGAAAGCCCAATTGCGGTCATTCAGTATCGCCACCCGCAGTGTGAATGATCACATTCATATTTATGGATGTGTCAAAAACACTGTGAGTAATCAAAGAAATCTTGAGAAATGCTTTGATGCAGCTGACTGTTTCAGAAACAATCATCTGATGATGTGAGAAGCAAATGTTTATTAGATATGCCTTTAAAAAAAAGAAAATGAAACTAGGATAAGACAGTGCTTGTTGTGAAGCGAAAGCTCTGATCTACATGTGGGACTCCCACATCACAGGCCAGAAAGGGCAGTCTGAGCTCCATTCCAGCACCAGAAATCAATTCTGTGCTGAAGCACTGCACCGAGTGAGCAGGGTTGCCCACACGCTTAAGTGCAGACCATGGTGAATGGCTCTAATAAATAGCGTTAATTATACCCTCCTTGCAAAGTAAACATGAAAATAGAATCCCTATTTTGCATTCAGATTTTATCAAAATAACTATCTGCCTAGGCTCTAGACCAAAAAGATCAACAAAAATGTATGAATGGAATGATTTAAATCCTCCTGATTAAATGGCATGAAAAGAGAACCACAGGTAAAGCTAATCTCCAGCTGCAAGAACACTTGCAAACAATACATCTCTAAATGGTATCTGTTAAATTCAGCTAAGATTATTTTATCACATGTTTCTCACATATTACATTGGTAATGTACTTTCTCTAGATTATTCTGTTTAAGATTACTGAAGACAACCTGCACTGTGCATTGAACTTTACGGAATCACCCACAACGTCCTGCATGTGAAAACATACACACAGAAACACTTTTCTCATTCCTGGTAAAAATTTTTTTCTTTCTACTTGAGCATATTTGCGCTTAAGTATTAAAAAGTAAGCAAAGTATGAGTGTTTATTCAATCCTTTTATCCCCATTTTTAGTATTTAACAGTATTAATACATGTATATTCTAGTCAAAGAGACCACAGACATTTTCTGTGGACATTTTTCAGAATTGTTTCTTGTGTATTCAAACCGTAGGGAGCCAAGGGAGATTTCAAATAGATAACTGCATCACAGGTAGGAGTAACACAGCACTCCAAATCCCTAGATTTCAGATGGGATACAGTGGTAAAAAGTAAAGTGACTAGGGACAGGGGGTGGGAAATTGCACATTTGGCAAAGCTGAGGGCTAAAATCTATCTAAAGCCAGCAGGAGAAAGGGAAGATATTACAAAGAACCTACTTAGAAGAGTCAGGGAAAAACATATAAAGCTTATGGCCAAGAAACTATTACCATCGCAGTTTACATTTACCCCAAGTACTTCCATATAAAGCTCCATATCCGTATAAAACTGAAATACTTTAGCTCTCAAGGGACAGTAATGCACAGAAGGCATGAGAGAGAGCAGTACCATCAGACTGCAGAGGCTATGAAAGACGATAATGCTGTGAACCCCTATCTCTTTCCTCCTTCCCTATCCGTTTGAAATGGGACTAATTCTTTTTCTTCCTTAAGTGTGGTGATCACATTGCCTTCGACCATGTGAAGAAGCATGCAGAAAATAGATTTTATGCACAAAGTCCAGAATTTTGCAACCATAAGATATATGAACTCCTCCGAAATGGAAATTTTGAAGATGGCATTTGGAATCTCAGTGACAGAATACGCCAGCAGACAGAGCTGTAATACTATACATCAGGAAAATAAGCATACCCTAGACCAAAAGTGATTTGTGACATTTAACAGAAATGTCTTAATACTGCAGTGCCCAAAAGATAAACTTACATGAAACTATAATCTGATTCTACCATTATAAACAGA